AAAAAAAAAAATTCCTTTCTTTTTTTTGTTGTCGAAAGCTACTTTGACAACTATGGAATCATTCGAGATGTAATGCAAAATCATCTCTTGCAAATACTAGCACTTTTTGCAATGGAGACACCTGTCAGCTTGGATACAGAGGACATTAGGAATGAAAAGGTAGACATTCTCTATATACATATGAGATTGCAATATGTGTGTTGGTTATTATTAATTTTTTTCCCCAGCTATGCCAGGTTTCAATTGCTTTTAATAGTTGTCCAAAAACTCATCTGCAAATATGGTAAATAATGACAAATCAATTTCTCCACCCATGCCTCCCCAACCCCTATCTTAGATGCAGTTTTTGGATGTTTTGATTCCATGGTATTTATCAAAATTGGTAACTCTGGGGAAGTAAGGTGAACTAGTTGGCAGTTTCATCGAAGGGTTTGAAGTGCATATGTCACCTGGTTCTACTTGAAAAGAACAAAATTTGATGAGGAACTTGAAATGAACACTTGTATTAGTATCATAGGTTTGGTCAAAGTAGTTATGAAATTATGGAGATTGGACACATAGCCATGACATTTTGTATAATGATAATCGGCTACTTCTCATACATGTTATGAATGGTGATAATTCCTGACCTTTTTTTTTTCCCTGACTAGATCCAGGGGTTGGATACAGAGTATTTACAGATTGTTTCAGAATGACCAGTTCAGAGGTTTCAGTCTGGTTTGGTTTCCTCCGCCTCCGCATTGGTTTATATTGACACTGACGACGCGGCCGACACGCCGCTCTGTCGCTCACGTGCCTCGCCGCGTCTCCGGCTCACCTTTTGATGGCTCGACGCTTTCTGTCGGGCACGACTTTTGATGAAGTGGGCGCGCCTTTTGAGGGCGCAACTTTTGATGGCACGTTTTTTATGGATTGGGCACGCCTTTTGATGGTACGCCTTTTTGAAAAATTGGGCACACCTTTTGAGGGTGCGACTTTTTAAGGGTCCGACAAGACTCTGTAAACTATCCCGACATTGATTCCGGTTAGCTCCGTCATGGGTCCGACAAGACTCTGTAAACTGTCCAGACATTGATTCCGGTTAGCTCCTTCATGGGTCCGACAAGACTCTGTAAACTGTCCCTAAATTGATTCCGGTTAGCTCCTTTATGGGTCCGACAAGACTCTGTAAACTGTCCCGACATTGATTCCGGTTAGTTTCTACAAGGGTCCAGCAAGACTCCGTAAACTGTCTTCTACAACGGTCCGACATGACCCCATAAACTGTCTTCTACATCGGTCCGACACGAGCCAGTGTCTTCTACATCGGTCTTCTACAACGGTCTGACACGACCATACAGTGTCTCCTATCCTCTTTTATTTTTTATGTATTTTCTTGTTTTGTTACTCTCTCCAAACTCAAGTTGGTTAGTTCCTATCCCCCTTGAGTTTGCGGGGGGCTGTTAAAACCTATCACCTACTTCACCCACTAAACCTAACCCACTACACCACTACCACCTCACCTACTCCACTAAACCCACTACACCACTACCACCTCCACTTCACCTACTCCACCTACCACCTCCACTTTACCTACTCCATCTACCACCTACTCTTCTATATATAGGAATCATTGTAGCATTCAATAATTCAACAATTACAAACATCAATCAATAATACAATTCTCTTTTTCTCTTTATACATTAAATTTCTACATGAGATAATTTTGATATTACTTGATTTAAACAGGTACATTTAATAGTTCAAACGGTTTTGCATGAATAAAGGTCTCGAGGGTATTTTACCTACTTTAAACTAACTATAAAGATTTAATATAAACAATTGGAGTTTTGTTCTGGATTAATGTGGGATGTCAATGATGCTTTCTTTCAGCATATACATCATCATCAAAAGAGGTTTGATGGTCCTTTCCAAACATAAAAATCAGATCATAATCAAGTGTGATAATGCTTGTGACAATGCTTATCAGAAGCTGAATTGATAAGCAAAATATAAAGTATTTTACCACTGGGGAATGATCACAAGTGCATTTGGACACAAAATTGGAGTTTCCTTTCTTCTCCCTAGGCATTCACGCAAGACAAAACTAGTTCATAAATAAATCAACTTACACTAAGCGGTTACCTTGGTTGTAACACAAATTACCACCCTCATAAGCCAAACTATCCCAATATTCTCCAATTGCAAAAGCTGGATTTGAAGCTTCTATATATTCTTTCACATATCCACCTGAGAAGCCTCTGTGAACAACATGAAAGGAGTAAGCCATCTCCTGCCATGGAGGAGGAATAAATAGTGACTCTGAACAGGAAGAGCATAAATGGCTTCATCAAGGAGAAAGTTATGCATAGTAAATAGCAGTAAGTACAAGACTCTTGTTTCAGCTCTCTTTTGAGCACTTTAGTCTCACTGGGTTCTTAAATCAATTAAATGACTTAATAATGGCTATGACAAGAATATTTTCTATAAAGGTGTGACATATCTCCATGAAAGGTCTAACATGGTTTGCCATCGTTTTGTATATGTAGTGTTAATTTTTCTATTAATGGACAAAAAGAAATGTCACATAGAAACCTATCAAAAGGCAGAGTATGCTTGCACTAGTGAGAGGGCTTCTGCATTATTGGCCAATTATCCTTGGTTCTATTTTTATGGGCAAGAAATAAGGGCCAAATTTATTGCAAAGACAAATGGATTTTGATTAGGAAAAAAAAATCAAAGTTCAGTGGTTCTAATAATCAAACACTTTTGTCAGGTCTTCTTGTAAATATTCTTAGCTTTTGTGTTTTTGTGATTTGGTAGGCCCCATAATAGAATTCAAGAAGTGGTATTTAACCCAATGCATCCACAAATTTTATATACATTTATGTGCCAACCTAGTACCTCACATATATAACCATGGTCTTTGTTAAATATAGCCTATAAATAATCTTAAAATAATGGTAGAACAATGACTTAACATACAGTTCAGCAAAACAAGATTGAAAATAGAACAACTCTAACTCGTTTCTGCACTCATAAATTGATTGTGGTAACAAAGGTTGGATGTTGCATTAGCACATCAAGTTGGAGGTTGCATTAGCACATCAAGTTGATCAAAAAAAGTTAAAAGAATAGAACATTCATTTTCAGGACTTATATATGTTCATTATTGTCAATGAAACAACCTTAAATATTTTTGAATAAAGTATATTAGATCAACCAGCAATTGCCTTCTGACAAAGTAAGAGTGCTCGAAGAGGTACTCCAACAGCAATGAGGACAGGATTCCTGTTTACTTGCTTCTAAAATTCCTTCTTAGAAAATAGACCATAGAGAAAATGAAACAAGAAAAAGCTAAGTTGGTTAACGTATGAAGAAAAAATCTATATGTATCAAAATAGGCAGAAGGTGGCCTTTCACCTCACAAAATCAAGGCGCCACCCATCGAAACCTATATCATTTCGTAACCAGTTTAACCATTCTTTTATATCTCTTCGTACAAAATCTTGGGAATGATCAATGTTTGGTGCTGCATGGAATATATCACCTACACAATGAAAATAAGTGCATAAGCAAAAGATGCATAGCCATGTTCCGTCAAGATTTCAGATCTCTCTCACCAGTGGTCCCTTGGAAAGCCAGGAAGCCTAAGATAAAGTAGAGTTGGAAAACTCTGTCACCAGACTACAAATTTCTAGCAGCTAAGTAAATGCATATGAATTGACCATATTTTAATGTATCCACAGGTAGAATTTCCATACCACTTGAAGGATTTCCACGGCCCTGGAAGTTTGGATCATCACAAACAATTGCTTCAGGTCCCCATGCAAGCTTGCCGCCAAATATGTTCCAAACACCATTGGGACTCTGGAATTAGTGAGGATGTCAGATTTATCAAAATGACGAACAACACTCATCATGAAGTGCACTCCATGCAGAATTTTTCTCCAATGAAATTATCTACTCAGAAGACTTGAACAATGGGTGTCGGTTTCATCTACATTGGTCTTTTATGAAGCATCTACTTGGTCTCAAAGTGAGGATGTCAGATTTATCAAAATGACAAACAACACTCATCATGAAGTGCCGCCCATGAAGAAATTTTCTACAATGGAATTATCTACTCAGAAGACTTGAACAAAGGGTGGCAATTTCATCTACATTGGTCTTTTATGAAGCATCTACTTAGTCTCAACTTGAAACCAACAATATCTATCTGCAAAATCAAGGGGTCAAATGCAATGTAAGATTAACTTGTATTGAACAACTATATTAGCTGTAAAACCTACCGAAGTTGAGTAAGCTTAACTCCAATTTGCACCATATCTAGAATGCTAAACAAACTTTGAATAAAATCCATAAGACCACTGTGAATTCAATTGAAACAATATGTCACCTGTTTATGTGCACATCGATGATTCAGTACAACATCTCCCAAGGCCTGTGGACACATGTAAGACATCGAGAAATCCATTCCAACACATTAGCAAACGTGAGCATCAATTTGTAACAAATGCAAATACAAGGCATCTACGATCACAGAAGCTCAACTACACACTTGTAAAAAACACAACAGAATAAGTAAGAAATCCTTCTACCATGGAAACAAATTTATTAACTAACTAGTCTCATTACACATGAATAGGCCAAATGTGAAGGCAAAGAGAAGATAATAGTATTGTAATAATCAAAATAGTATAAAGAAATAAAGTGTCATGTTGAACAAATAAGGCTTAGCTCTTCCTCTTTTGCAAGAAGCCAACTAAATTGACTTCACAAATCCAGAGAACAGGTGAAATCATGTCATTCAAATTACTTGACACATTTGGGATACCATATAACGATGCTTTCGATGTTCTTTTTTATTTTAATACTTGGATAACTTATTAAAAATAATTTTACAACTTCCAAAAATAAAACGGAGGACTCATTAGTATGTTGTCAATGATTTCACATATGAAATGAACTATCCTTAGGCACTTGGTTGAGCCACTTGTGTTTGTTTATCTATTTTTTTATAACAGATGCCGCATGTAGAGCACTTCATGTGTCGAAGAAATGGACTATTGTTTCCATGAAGAAATCAAATCGTTATTCCAATATAAAAATGAACTACATTTTTTACTACACAAGAAACATTAAATAGCTATAGGAATGGACAGTTTTATGTCCACAAAGAAATCAAATCATCAATCCAAAATAAAAATGAACTATATTTTTTTAGTAATAACTAGATAAAGGTTTAGCAAACATACTCTTAAACATTCATAAAAGAAAATGTTCTTCTTTTTTCCTAGAAATAACAAATATATATATTATAAAAGAAATGCCACAAGAAATACTAAATTGTTAAAAATTTGGTGTTCATTGCTTAACATTTATCTTGTCAAATCAACAATTGAAGATGTACCAGCAGATCTTGATTATGCATTTCCTCTATACAATGCTTAAGATCTTCCACAGAACCATAAGCTGAGTTCAAATTGTAGAGGTCAGAAGGCATATAACCTGCAGTTCATTCTTTATTGTTAATCAAATGTGAATTTTATTTAAGGAAAATAAGTAGAACCTTCGTGATCAGTTACACATCAATCACGAGAAGGGAGACACTATCAATTGTATGACAAATTATCGTCCAACATCCCTACAATGACCATACACAAATGGAGAAGCAAAACAACAAGAAAATTACCTCTACAACATGGACTTAGGAAAACATGAAATGACTCTACCCAAGTGGATAAAAGCAGTGTCCTTATGTTTTACATAGCTAAAACAATGACAATAAGAAAAACTGTAGAAAAGAAATCAGTGAAAGCAGTAAGAAAACCTTGAGGAGCAACAGATTCTGTTGGTGGTGGAAACCACACTGCAGTGATTCCACATTGAGATAAATCCGCAGCTTTAGGAGCTAGATCCAGGTACCACTGCTTTCTCCAGCTTTCCCAATTGAAACCTTGAAACTTTTAAAGTAAAGAGCATTTGATTAAGCCAAATCATAGATAAAAGTTACACAACTTCAAATCTATTTAAGTTGCATTTTCCAATTTGTATACAGTTACCAAAAAATAATATTACATTCAATAAGCATAATATAATCCTCAAAATTTATGGTTGTTATAATCTTTATAGCTTAACAGGACACAGATCATAAAACTAATAGAGAAGTGAAGGGATGCCGATAACATAGTGATAGTGCACATGATACTTGGAGATGCCGAAACAGGGCGATTATGGAGAGAGTAGAAGCAAGAACCTAAAGTTGGGATTACACCAAAAGCATAAAGAAAGATTGGGGATCCTCACTGGAAGTTTCAGAAACTTTGTAAAGCCTGAGCAAAAAGTATAGAAATTGGAAATGACTGTCTTGTAAAATACTACTGCACACACAAAAGCCCAAGTTTGAAAACTAAAAGAGTAAGTGAAAAGTTCATGCAAGCATTTGTTTAGAGCATGTTTAACATCGCATGGAAATCAGATCATTGAAATTTGTTCCCTACAGCATCCGAAGACAAACCCATACTATAGATTAGAGTCCTACTTAAAAAAATTAATAAAAAAATAAGGGTAAATTACAAATACACCACCTGAGGTTTGATTAAAATACGAATCACCCCTGTGGTTTTGGAAATTACATTCCACCCCTTGAGGTTTTTAATTTCGTAACAAATTGCCCCTTTTATTAATAAATCATGAAGTCAATTAACAGTTTTTAATGATATTAGAAATATGTTTCAATTAATAATTTCGGTAATTTTATTATTGTATTAGAGTGCAATTATGAATTTTATTTTTTTAGTTAATTTTGTTAAATAAAAAATTCTAATAATGGGGTATTTGTAATTTTTGAAATCACAGGGGGCAATCTGTACTTTAAACAAACCTCAGGGCGTGTATTTGTAATTTACCCAAAAAAATAAATGTTCAAATAAAGCCACTTAATATAATGCATGCACACAGAATCTATCCCTTCTAACTCAAAGCCAGTTCACATTTGATGTGGATGATGTAACAATAACAACTGAGAACCAGTCATTTACCAGCTAGTAACTGTATTAAGTGAAAAGAGATACACTCACCACAATCTCACGTCCAGTACCAGTTCCTGGCTCTGCATTGAAGGCCAAGTAAAATTATACATGAAAACATGCTATGGGAATGAAATGGATTAGCGAAATGTCATGACACAGAAAAAGCACCTAATTTTGTTTGTTCTGGCATGCTTTCCCATTGTACTGTCTTTCGCTGAAGAGCGCGTTCCAAAGCCTTTCGCTTCTTCTCAATAAATTCTTTCTCAATCACATGCTCAATAAGTGTGTCTCCTTCCCTCGGTTTTTCTTGAGCAATGGACCATACTTCATCAGGTTTTGGCAGTTGCAAAGATTTAAATGTTGATGTCAAGGCTTCAGAAACATCAATCTTTCTAGGTGGAAACTTAGGACAAATGGAGTGGATTCTTCGTGCCATCCAGTCAGGGATTTCTCTGCGAGGACCATCACATAGTAGTTTCCATTTTTGTGAATCATCATCGGTCAGAAGGTCAATCCGTCCACCATTAACAACATATACTGTATCTTCATCCACTTCACCAAGTGGTCTATCCTTCAACAAGAGTGATTCTGCCATCTCTGCTCTCTGTCTCCACATCTTCGAAGTGGCATCCAATGCTTTTAAAGATCTCTGCAGTGCTTCACATCTTCGCATATAGGCCTCATCTTTAGAACGTGCTGTTCGTTTAGCAGCTTCTATAGCAGCCTTGATGGCCTCCAACTCACCCTTCAAAGCCTTAGAAGCAGCTTTCCTTCTCTCTGCTACATCTTTCTTTGTCTTCACCAGCAATGATTCAATCTCTTCCTCCTCTTGAAAAGCCTTTTTCCTGCCTGACTCCTGAATTTCAAGGAGCATTTTGTCAACATCATTTGCATGGTGTTGGAATGCACTTGCTTGTTCACATACTTGTTCCAATTCCAACTTCAAACTGTCAACCTCATTTCTTTTAAGCAGTAATTCAGATTCTAAATCATTGATAGCATTTCGCAACTTAATATTATGTGACTTGATGGAAGCAATCTCATCGACAGGATTTATGGTATCCATAAACAATGCCATGGCTTTTGAAACATGGTCACTGGCTGTTTCTGCAACAGACAAAGCCTTCTCTATAGCATCCTTTGCTTGTTCTACAATGGATACTATGGTACCTTCAGTAGCATTTTGTATTCGCTCTTCAATCTGATAAGCTGCTTCCGCAGCAGAAGTTTCAGCTGCTGAAACTCTCAGTTGGGCTTTCTCTAATATGTGAGCCGTGGCCTGCTGGAAAGCAATTTCTGCTAATTTTTCAACTTGCACTGCAAGTTCAACAGCATCTTGTTTAGCAAGAACCAACTTAGATTCCAAGTTAAATTTCTCTTCTACAGATTCCTGCAGCTTTTGATTGAACAGAGATTTTGCTGCCTCCAGCTCTGTAATGGCCAGGTCCTCATCATGCATTACAGTAGCCACATATTCTTGCCGTTTAGCCTCAGAACGGGCCAATTCTTCAAGTATCTGATCTCTCTCTTTTTCAATGGCTTCTTGTCTGGCTTGCGCCTCAGAGAGAGCTTTTCTAGCTTCCAGAAGTTCACCTTCGTTAATTTCTAGTACTTCACTCCTCACTGATGGATCACCATCCCCATCGTGAACATCTGTGATGGTGTCACTAGAATCCTCCTGTCAAAGAAAATGAAAAAAATTAAAAATCAATAGCCATTAGTCAGTTACCTCAATCACCTGTGTTTTCTCTCTTTGGCTTCCTCATTAAAATGAAAAAACTATACTTCTGTTTAAATCAAGCCGCCACCATATTTCTCAAGGTGCCAAGGTGGTGCACAGAGGCAACTATAATATTGTCTGAGTTTTTCCAGAAATTTCTAGGAACTACATAGACTTGAGAATAACTGTAAAAGCAATTTGATTATTTACTTAATTTATCTTCACATCCAAGAAATTTCGTAACACTGCGAGACCATAAATATAAACTCTGGGAATATTGCCTATGTGCATATCGCATGCAAACCCACCGTTTCAGTTCAACAAAAAAAAAAAAGAAAAAAAGTAAAAAAAGCAAAGTATATACAAACCATGCTTGAATAAATAACAGGTCTTGATTTATAGAGCCATTTGCCTCTGTACAAAAGTTTCCTGCAAGAATTGCACCTTTGAGTGTGATAAATTTCTCAAACATCACATAAGGCCTAAGGTGCATAACATCACATAAGGCCTAAGGTGCATTGTATATAGGATGTGTTTAACCTCTTTCGATTGGAGTTTTTTCTTGAGCTTGGAGGTTGCCACCTATGACCAAAATATGAGCCATGGTCACGATACGTGCTTGAAGAAACAACAGGGTGGCATGAAAGAATCCTGAATACCCTACCAGGCAATAGAACTGCTGCACCCATTTCTTCCTGTCACCAAAATCAAGATTTGATTTCTCGCATCAAAATTTAAGAATAAATTGATCCATTTCAAACTTCACTTTTCCCATGAAATTTTTTCAAAGAACACATATACAACTTCAGTAGAAATAGAAACACAATTCCAGTAATATTCATTAAAAAAATTAAAATAATACAAATAATGGTAGTAACAACAATAAAACATGTACATATAACAGTTGCATTTACGTCTATACTATATTATAAAGTGAACAAATCATACAAAATGACAGTAACTTGTATTTTATTTTCGTTTCTTTCTTATCCTTCATTTTGGATAAAAAATACAAGAGTTGATAACGCTAATCCTATATTGAAATTATCCAAATAAAAATACAACTTTTTACAATTGGGCAAAAATGTTTAAAAAAAATTAAAAAATTCATGCCAGAATAATCTGAGTTAAACTCACCCTAAACATCCAGTCCCACTAGTTTGTTTAGCATATGCATTGTGTGTGAAGGATAGCTAGTTTTTACAAACATCGCGCCCAAAGAACAAATTGCATTATCAATCAAACAGATTGAATAGTATCATTATACCACTTGCACATTAGTATAATACAATACAACACACACAAAACACATAGATTAGGAAACACGAAGAATGGGCAATTAGACACATATAGAGCATCAATCTTAGGAAGGAGATAAAGAAATACGCAAACATTTGGATATTAAACATTGTTATAAGATGGAAGTAAAAGCAAAGATCATGATGGGAAAAGAGATTGAAGATTAGTGCAATCAAACAACATAAATAGAGATTGGAGAAACACCTGATTTAGATGGTGAATTCAATTCAAAATATTGAATGCTTTTACGAACATCATTTGATTCGCTCTCGTAAATTCTGAAACATTATATACATGTAGGTTAGGTGGTGGTAGGTGAGGAGTAGGTAAGTGTAGTAGGTGAGTGTGTGGTAGGTGATGGTAAGTGTGTGGTAGGTGATGGTAAATTCTAATAAATACAACACACACAAAACACATAGATTAGGAAACACGAAGAATGGGCAATTAGACACATATAGAGCATCAATCTTAGGAAGGAGATAAAGAAATACGCAAACATTTGGATATTAAACATTGTTATAAGATGGAAGTAAAAGCAAAGATCATGATGGGAAAAGAGATTGAAGATTAGTGCAATCAAACAACATAAATAGAGATTGGAGAAACACCTGATTTAGATGGTGAATTCAATTCAAAATATTGAATGCTTTTACGAACATCATTTGATTCGCTCTCGTAAATTCTGAAACAGGGGTTTGTTGCGCATTTATTTTAAGAGAGAGAGAGAGAGAGAAGGGATTTACTTCGAGGTCAACTTCTTGAATGTTGTTGCAATCCTCAAACTCTCTAAACTCTCTCTCTCTATATATATATATCTATGTTCTTCTCCCAAAGTAGAGACACTCGTTTTTTTGAAAACGAAAGGTAGAATTATCAGTTGAACACACTGGCATTTTACTGAAATTTGGGAAACTAACTAGATTTTTATTTGCGAAAATGAATACGAAACTTCACGGGTTCTAGCATGGCATGGGTGTCGCATGTGATGTGTACCAGTAAAAGCTAAAGCACTTCTAGAAGTTTGGATTTGTGTTTCTTCAAAAGCAAGGGGTTTGAGAAAGTTACGTTGCGAGTTTTTGACTTATGAATTTTATAATTATAGGTTGAGTGTGGAGTTTTTTATTTAAAGATAGAGTTATATTTTGAGTTGTGAGTTTTAGATTTATGATTTGAGTGTAGAAAATTTGTTTGGTAAATGAGTTTTGAATTAAGTGAGAAATTTTAATGTGACATATGCTATTTGATATAAAAATTTACAACCTATAACCAAATACACAATTCAAATTCTATTCAAAACTCATAAAAATTTTTAAAAATTTTCAAATTTTTTTTATTTAAAATATAAAAAATAATAGGTAACATTTGTAAAAAAAAAAATGTACTATTTTGATCAACCGGTTGAATGTCCGAGAGGAGTCCAAATTTTTCTATCTTGGACAGAGTTTTCAAAAGTGAGTGTGAAATTAATTTTTGAAAACTGCAAACAAACACCACACTCAAATGTAATGGTAGAATTAAGTTTAGAGAGTTCTACCAAACAGAGCCCCATTGAGTCCGGACCCCCTACTTGACTTCTTTCCTTTACTTCCTACGTGCAATGGCTTTGATGTCCTAACCCAAATCCAACGGTCTAAAATTGAAACTAAAATTTTCCCGTCCAAAGCTATATAGGTTATACACATTTTGTTTGGAACTCACTCTCACTCAACCTCACACTCACCCCTTCTCCTCCACTCAGGCATAGGCCCACTAGGCCATGGCCTAGGGCCCATCAAAACAGACTCAAAAAAGGAATCCCCTACTAATATAATTTAGTGTAATATATTATGTATGTTTTAGGTCCAAAAAAATTAAAGAAGGCCAAAACTAACTTAAAATAAATTGACCCATTAAAAAATTAAAAGGTCCATTCCAAAATAAAAAAGCCTCATTCTCTTTCCCTGAATCTAATTCCTAAAACCCTAACTACTCCTAATCCAAATTTTCCAACAACTTAACAACAGCAGCCCAACAAAAAGCAAACCTAGCAGCAGCACACTCATCCAAATTACTACCAAATTTCTGTCACTTTTTTTATCTTTTTTTTATTTTTATCACTCTTCATTGTGAAGTTGCAGTCCATTTTTCCTTTATTGAAATTTAAGGTTTGTTTGTTTCAGCAGAAATATTTTCCTAGAAATTTTCCACCATTTTATGATTATTTCTTTTGGAAAAATTTAGAGAATATTTTCCCTCCAAACAAACATAGCTGTGGATTTATTTATTTATTTATATATAAATATATATATAATTTTTTGTAGACTTGCACATATAGAACAAATTTTGAAAATTTATTTTTCTGATAGATTGAAACCTTAGAGTTGGTGAATCATGTGTTAAAGCTATGTTAATTATTTGGCCGATTTATGTAAAATTTGTTATTTGACTTGTGTGGGGACATATTTTTGAACTGGCAAGTCATAATCACTGCTAGTAATGTGATCTTTGTTGAGATGTTGGACCTAGATGAGATAGAATATGATGGTTCTTGATTCTTGATTCTTGACGAGTGGACATACGAGTCCTTATTTCTTGGCGCCGACAAGTAACGATCTCAGTCGGAGGAGTACAAGTATAGGTTCCATCACCTCAGTTTGCTGAGGTAATAGAACCTAGGGGGCAGTTGTAGGGACATTTTTGGGTAGTCCACGTGGCCGAGGTACCACGTGAGCGGACCATGATGCCGAGATATGGTGCAATAATACCAGAATCTGAGATATGTGGATAGAGGACTAGAGTCCTAGATGACATCAAAATACCTATTTGGATAGAGATGGGACTCTTGAGAAAGTTCATCTTAATCTGAATAGTGTGAGTTGTGATAGATATTATCCTTGTAAAGGATAGAGTCCCATGAAGTAAGATTTCTAGGGAAAGTTGGACACTGACTATTATAAAAGTGAGGCACCCCCATGGGTCTAAGGTATTCTTTTTATGTTCTGTCTAGTGAGTTAAGCACTATTGGTTATCTATGAGAGATATTTGATTACTGACTTGAGCGTCGGATTGCCCGCGGGTGGACGAACCACCGTCAGATTCTTATCTTTCTGTGACAGGTTGTTTGGGCTTAATCTATTATGCCGGTGCTCTCCAACTGAGTTCCCCCTTTGGTTGTGTGGTCAGAAATCAATACCCACAACTTGGTAATTGCTTAATGAGGCTTATATATTATGAGGCTAAGGCTGTTTAGATGAGACTATACTTTGTGTTTCAGTTTGCAATATTTGGAATTATTTGTTCAATTTTAATAACATCACATAATTTAAATTTTAATATATTCTTCCTTTTCCTTGTGGACAATTATTCCATGTCACTCATAAGGCCTTCTCTGTAACACCACATAATTTAAAAGTTTTTTATTTTGTTAAATGGTGGTGGTGCTCTTGTTTTGAATTTTAATCTAAAAAAATATTTTGATCTCAGTTCATCAAGACTCTTAATAGAAATTATCCATCTAGATTCGCAAAAAGGAAAAAGAAGCAAAGAGTCGAAAAATTAGTCGAGTGTCAAAGAGGAGCTATTAACAAGTTCTTTACGACAAACAAGCAGAATAATCAGTTGAAGACTTGAATAATGAAGAATTTGAAACTTTGGTGAATAATGAGAATGAAAATTTGGCGAATAATGAGAATGAAAATTTGGTGGATGAAAATTTGAAAATTTTGTAATTTTGACACAAATCTTTTATCCTTTACCTTGATTTTTTTTTTTCATTCAATGAAAAAAAAAATGTGAAAGGCCCCAGAAATTTATTAGTTGATTATCGGCTTTTGGCCCCGGAAATCTCAGGACCGGGCCTGCCTCCAATGAACCCACCCTCTGTTGGAACAATCTTCTGTGTAAATAAAATAACTTGAAATAATTCAAACAAAATAAATAAATAACATACCGAATTTAATTATCGAACCGAATTAAAAATAAAGACCAAGTCGAGTGTGTGACACTCTATCCTTAAGACAGATTCGCCCCGCTACGGTACTTACGGTTGAGTGGCGTCTATCTCCCAAGATACAATGATCTTCACAAATTGTAGTAGTATTATGGTGCTTACGGTTGAGTGGCGTCTATCTCCCAGGATACAATGATCTTCACAAATTGTAGTAGTACTCCAAACAATTTGTTCGGCGAACCAAACCTTGTGTTCTTACTCTCTGAATTTTATACTAAAACTAATATGAAGAATAATGCAAAATTGCAGAATTTAGGACAGCAACAAGACAATAATCAGATTGAATTTTCGGGTTGTTGGATTGCTGGATTTATGGCTATATATATAGGCAAAAACTCTGCCCCGAACAGGTTCCAAAACAAATTGAAAAGGTGCACAGAAAAGTTAGAACCGTTGCCTGAACTCTTTTTCAAAAAGATTGAAAAAGTACTGTTGGTAAGAACAGTTTTTGAACCAATTTGAAAAGTGATCCGTGAACTCTTTTGGACCTTTATAAATTAAACAATTGGAAAAGAACCGTTGGACAAAGTGAACTTTATTATATAAACTATTTGGAATATATATATATATATATATATTAAACTATTTGAATATATATATATATTAAATTATTTGAATAGTTTAATAAATAAAGGAAGAGGTACAAATTTTAGGAAACCACTTAGGAATTCAAAATTTGAATTTAGAATAAAATTAAATTTTCACAATTACAAATTTTAAGAAACCACTTAGGAACCTAAAATTTGAATTTAGAATTAAATTAAATTCCCACAATAATTTTTTATTGAAAAATTCAAAAGAATTTTATCTAAAAAATTAATGTAAAATCCGAAAACGACGTCAACTTCCCATTCACTCATAAATGGTTTTGACGTTCCGTCTTCACCGTGTGACTTGCCACGCGGCAAGGAACACGTCACCTCTTCGGACTCACCCCAAAAGACGTTTGGGGCCCGCCCAAATTTGGGCTAAAAAATATGCCTATATTAAACCATTTTTTCAACAATCCCCCACATGAATGAAATTTGACGGAGAGAAAATGCAACAACATGATCTAATTACAGAGAGTACAGAAATTGGAAATATTCTGCAAAGGATAGGTAGCTTTTGGCTTTGAACCTTCCCTTGTGAGACACTATCGGATTTACTAGCTAAACAGTAAACATGATGTCTTGAACTGTTCAGCCGTTTGTGTAAATCAAGACAATAGAACCCACACAGTATATCGCCAGACACAGTTTAGTTCTCACTATTGTGTTCATTTTGGCCCTGAACAGCCTGGTCTTTCATGAGTGCTCTAAAGACTTGTAGCCCTTCACAAATCTTATAGAACCGGCCCAGTTCACACTCACATAGGTGATTCTCATGAAGAGTATCCTGCCATACTCCACTAGGTTTAGCTAGATATAAGAATCATTAAAATTTTACTTAACCTCAAACGCTGCAGACATCACTATTGTATCAAAGAAATGGGTAGGAGTTAGACTCCCCAGTGATCCTTCTGAGTCATTCACAACTCGGTTGTCCCTTTGAACCTAGATCTTAGGATCTCCAGTCAACTAGGTTGGGTTGCCGTTGTGGTAACTCTTATGTAATAGGCTTAAGTCCCATTCCCCTCGATGAATTCTCAACTAACTCTCTTGCTAACCCTTTGGTTAGTGGATCCACTATGTTGTCTTTAGACTTAACATATCCTATGGAAATAATTCCATTAAAGAGTAGTTGTCTCACGGTGTTATGTCGACGACGAATGTGTCGTGAACTTACCGTTATACATATGACTCTGTGCTCTACCTATAGCTGATTGACTATCGCAATGTATGCAATTAGCAGGCACCGATTTTGGTCATATTAGAATATCTTCAAGGAAGTGGCGAAGCATTCTGTTCTTCCCCTGCTTTGTCTAAAGCTATGAATTCAGATTCCATAGTAGACCTAGCAATACAAGTCTGTTGGAAGATTTCCAAAGATACAGACGTCCCACCAAAGTAAAACATTCACTGGTGGACTTCGAGTCTCTAGTATTCGATATCCAATTT